GTATTCCGCATTCATCTGTTTTCTTTATTTTGGCAACAATTGTCTGTTGTTGGCTCACAGATTCCTTTCCTTCTAATGTTAGGCAGTCTGCTGCCCTCAAGTGTGTAACATTCCCAATATCAAATTGTTGCAAGGCAGCCATTTGCTGTTTATTTGTGAAGAAATAAATGTGTCCATTATCGTTTGGCTCTGTTTTTGGCAACTCCTTGGTTCTGTCGTTTAATGCTGTAACTAACTTTTCACTTGATTGCATTACTGTAGCCTCATCACTCTTCAAAAGCTGATTAAGAAAGATTATTTTTGTATTTATATCAGATATTGCTGTATTCAGTTCATCAATTTGTTTATCATTTACCTCTTTTTTCTCCTTGTACGTTGCTTTTACTTTATTTTTCATTTTTTCTCCATTTTCCTTAATTTTCTCGGTCATTTTTTGCACATGATTGTCGATAGCTCTCAAACTTATATCTTTACTCTGTTCTAATGTTATGGTATTCTGCATAACAGCTTTAAGACCATCTTGTAATTTGAATTGGCACTGATGCGCAGCAACCTCCAATTTTGCAGACGTTTCTTTAAACGTTTCAAAGGCTTCTGAGATGCCGATTAATTTGTGTTTTCCATCCCACTCCTTGTGGCCTGTAATTGCGCACTGCATGCATATTGGAATATTGCATACGGAGCAGAACAATTTTAGAGGCTCATTGTGAAGGTAACACTGCGGAGGATGTAACGATGCAATCTGTATAGTGTTCATTGATCGCATATCCTCCACCGAATGCAGCTTGTGATTTGCAAAGAGTTGGTACTCCTTGTGATGGTCACTGCAAGAAGAGCACAAGTATTGTCTGCAATCCTGGCAGTAGTATTTTGTTTCTCCTTCTTTTCCACAAATACATTTCATCTGGTCTCTCTTTAAAAATTGTTCAATAGTTTCTAGTAAGTTATTTAGGAAAGTATTTGGTTGAAGCTTCTGAAGCCCGCCCTCTGGAAGGGGGTATGATTTTGAGCAAGTTGGACAAGTCAACTTACCCTTCGTCATGACCCAGTCTTCCAGACATGCCAAACAGAAACTATGGAGGCAGTTGAGTGATTTGGGATTTTGAAGTCTCTTAAAACAGATGGTACATTCTAGGACTTTCTCATCAACATTTTCCAAAAACTGATTTAGCTCACTGGTAGCCATCTTGAAATATTCCTGTGAACTATAAAGCGATAAAAAATATGTTAGGGCAGGGGAATAACACAGAAGTAGGGAGAGGCTCAGGTAGATTATGGCCCAATATTTAGAACCAATTTTTGTTTTTCCTCATTGCTGTCTTGATATTTTGCTCTTATAATTTTCTGCAAAAGTGTTTTTTTTTTAATAGCATCATAGCCAGTTTACAAACCTTTTACTGATAATTGTGTTTGATTTGAAAATTTCTTGAAAAATAGTGGTATTAAGCACTGATAATATATTGGTTGTAAATTAAATAAATTGTGACATATTTCCAGGCTGAATTCTTTCCAAAGATACCATATACCTCATTGCTACCATTTCCAACCTTGGCGTCACATTTGATGACAAGCTTGCCATGCAAAATTACATTGGTAAACTCTTAAAATCTGTTAACTTTCATCTACGTAATATAGCACTTATCAGAAAATACTTATCAAAACGAACTACGGCTCTGATTATTCACGCTTTCATTTTCTCCCGACTTGACTATTGCAACTCTCTTTTATTCAACATTCCTAAAATCCAAATTAACAGGCTTCAACGACTACAAAACTCTGCTGCATGCATACTAACATTTACTAACAGACGCACTCATATAACCCCCATTTTACGTGAACTTCATTGGTTGCAAATTGATGCCAGAATTAAATATAAAATCCTTTTACTGACTTATAAGTCACTGACTCTCAATCAACCCGCATACATTAATCAACTTCTTCCCAAATATGTACCTGGCCATTCCCTACGTTCATCTGATCTCAATTTAATTTCTGTCCCTCGCACCAACACTAAGACCTTCGGACACAGATCGTTTTCATTTGCTGCAGCCACACTCTGGAACGCACTACCACTTCACATTAAAAAATCAACATCAATTCCTTTATTTAAAAAATCACTCAAAACGCACTTATTCCAACAATAACATGAAGCGCCACTGATAATTACTTTGGTTTTTTAAATGGCGCTATATAAGTTCTTACCTTATTATTGCACACAAAGACAATACATTTCAGCTGTGGCATTGGTGTTGTAGTAAATGTAGTAAAATGTAGTAGTTAAATGTTATTTTTATTCTTAATGACAATATCTGATTATGGTTTTGAAGAGTGCACAGTAGTACTGAGTGTAATATGAATTGTTAACCATGAATATTCAAGTCCTATGTTAAAACATTCTTCAACGTAGATATTTTCTAAGCTACTGTAATTAAATAGTTTCCTTATCTATTTGGTCCTAGGACTTTATGCTGAAAATTACTCTATGTAAGCCTACTGTAGAATACTTTGTACAATCCAGTTGTTTCAAATGGTTAAATCGTTTACATATTAAACCACATTCATTCAGTAGATATTAACAAATTCAAATACTTAGGCCCCTACCTGTAATTACTCAAAAATGAGGTGTTTGTAGACGTATCTGCAACATATATTTGTCAGTTTGTCAGATAAGTTTCCTTATCTATTCAGTCCTAGGACTTTATGCTGAAATGTACTGTAAGTCTACTGTATAATACTTTGTACAATCCAGTTGTTTCAAATGGTTAAATCATTTACATATTAAACCACATTCATTCAGTAGATATTAACAAATTCAAATACTTAGGTCCCTACCTGTAATTACTCAAATGAGGTGTTTGTAGACGTATCTGCAACATATATTTGTCAGTTTGTCTTCGATGTGACCTATAGTATAGGCTGGGTCATGATTGTTTAACTTCCTGGCATAGGAAGTCAATTGTGGCTTGTAAAATCAGTCATGCAGAGATTTTGAACTCCTATACTCAGTGTTTAGGTCCCTGTATATTCAATCAGAGAGCTCTAGTCCTCATGTGTGAGTAAGTAAAAGGCCCGTTTAGGCAGGTTTAGGCCTGCATTGTGTGTTTATTGTATTCTAAGACTGAATGAAATACAGAAATAAAAACATTGTTTATGATTACATATTGTAAAATAATATTATTTACATGTTGATATAAAATTAAAAATAGGCAAGCATATATATTTCACAGAGGACTTGCTCCCTCCTATCTAATTAATATGTTTGTTTTCCTTGAAAATGATAAAAACACTAGAAGCCAGACAAATAATCATCTTGTAGTTCCACAATGGAACATATGTCAAGGAAAATGAACTTTTCATTACCGTGCATCCATGAAGTGGAACCAACTACCTAGCAATATAACTAGGGATTTCCAGAATTTTAACCAATACACATTTAAAAATGCTCTGAATTAATTGGTCTCTCCTCTATTTTTGTGATTAAGTCCTCTACTTTTGTGATTAAGTCATCTATTTTTGTAATTAAGTTCTTTGTTTAATTTTCAATTTTTAATTTTTTTTGTTTTTCTTTTCAATTTTTGTATTTTATGTTATGTAACTGGACCACAACGAAAACCAGTGCCTTTGTATTAAGTGTGCCATCCAGTATCATGAAAGTTAAATAAATAAATAAACAAAATTTTAAATATAATACAGTACTTTAAAAATTGGATAAACAAATTAAAGATTGATATTTAATATCGTATATTTTGTGGCTGTTCTCCCTTATCTGTTGCTGGTACAGTATCTGATTTCTCTGTTTGTATACCATTTCCTCTCTTTGTTTTTTTTTTTTTGGATTGGATTCTATTGGATTCTCCCCAGCTGTGTATTTTTGGTATCAAATGCTGATGTCCCCGATGAGAAAAAAAGTATGTGTGGACAAGTGTCGCTAAAAAGCTTTCGAAAGTGGTCTGGGGAAGCCCGTGCAATCTCAACAATTTAGGGGGTTCAAAGGCTTATTTAATTGATTTCTGTCTATCAAAAAAGTTTTTAAAATACATAGAAAATGTTTTTTTCTACCCAATGAATTGTGGTTTTTCTCTCCGACCTCCGACCGGGGACAGAGGGGAGGGGGTGTTTTAGTCATCATCTTGTGTTTTTCTTTTTGTATTCATGAATAAAATTAACTTTAATCTATCAATATGTTTGTGAATATAAACATATTGATATTATTTTATTTTAATTTCTTTTGTTAATTATTTTGTTATGAGTTAATTAGCCATTCAATATCTCTTGTATATTTTAATTTATTTTATCTTAATTTAAATATATTGATTAAAAACTCTTTCTTATGAATTACGAATTATTTAGCCTTTCAATGTCTTATTTATTGGTCTGTATGGTCAGTACTAGAAGGAATTTTTAATTTAATGAAACGGCATTCTACTGTTGCCTAAAAAAGGTAAAGGTGGTCTTTAATTATGTGTTAATTGGTACGAGTCCTGTGTTTGCCGTCATAGTTCAATTGAATTAAATATAAAACAAGAGGTGTAGTTTATGAAATACCATTGAAAAATTGTACCAAAAATGAGTTCTGTAAATAGTTCACCAGTTTAGTTCTATTGGTACTATAGTCAATCATTGGTAACATGTTGAGAGACTTGATAAAAACTCTGTGACTGTGTTAACTGGACTCAACCTAACCAAAAAGTCCTCAGTGGTCAAGTTGGCCAGACGTTTGCACAATAAGTGAAAGGTCCTGTGTTCGAGTCCCTGTGGAGGTCAAGTTTCTTTTATCACTTCGATTAGATTTTCTCTTCTGTTACGTTAAAATTACATACTGTACATTATGCGACATGTTAGTTCTGGGATTATCCCATTTGCCTATTAAATTAAAGATGAAAAAAATAGTCGGAGGTTTGGATTGAACAAAACCTGTCTTTAATTTATCAAGCTTTCGAGCTTACGCTCTTCATCAGGTTCTAAGGTACAGAAAAATCCACAAAACAGTACAGACTTGTTTTAAAATATAAAAACTACTTATTAAAATAATTTACATTAAAAATACCAATGATTAAAGTACATAAAAATTAGTATATCATGCACAGTGATTTCTGTGTATTTCGTACTCTGATTTAGTTTATAGTAGAATACATCCTATATATTCAAAATTGGTTATTTAATACAAATTTATAAAGGCTAATGGTGAAACTAACTGAAATGAAACGTGCATAAATATTGAATGAACTTACTGTTGTTACCCTCTTGGTCTCTGCTCTGGTATTGTGGAATGAAGTAGGATGTTTGTTGCCTGTCTCTTATACACATCTAGATGTGTATAAGAGACAGCATCAATACTTAAATAAGGTACCTCTGCAAATGAATTATTCTTAGTTATTATTTTTTTCTTTTTTTAGTTTATTTATTCCGAAAGTGTACTTTCTATCACATATAATTCCACTGTCTTAGTTAGGCCTAGGCCTAGTCTTATGCCTCATCGTTCCCCGCTACACAGTACATCAGGAGCCCCATCCCATACAGTACAGACGTCTGCTAGGTAACAACGTGATTGCACCTTCCTTCCCAGGTGTTCATGTAACATTGACATAATTGTTAGCTAACCAGTTGTGTGTATTTCTTTGTGAAAATGAGTACCGCGGCGTACTCATTTTCACAAAGCATCA